GATAGATTAAGGAAAGCGAAAAGACAGAAGGAGGGATGAAACAAAATCCAGTGGGGAGGGGTAAAAAAAGAGTGACAGAGAGACAGATCAAGGAAAACAGAAGAAGAGATCAGAAAAAATTGAGGGAGACAGCCAACGAGACAGTAAACAGTCCGACGAATCAAGACCAAAAATGGGAGGAAAGGGTTAACGAACAAAAGACATGACATGGGAAAAAAAAGGAAACGAGGGCAGTATAGATGTCAGCCAGAAAAGGAGATAATTGCTTTGTTGTTCCTCCTCGACACACTCTCTCTCTCTCTCTCTCTCTCTCTCTGTGTCCAATCTTGTCTGGTGTCAGACCACCAGACTTGGTAATGCAGATAGAAGAAATGAGACAGCGAAAGAAGAGAAAAAGAAAGATGAGAAGGGGGGGAGACAGGATTCTACCACTCTTCTCTCTTTGCTATCTTTGCTATCACTCTTTTCTTTTCCTCTCTCCCTCTCTCTAGTGCCTTCTCCTCCTCTCCCGGGTACTAATAATTACTCGTTTCTGTGTCACCAGCTTGAACAAAGCACTCCCTTGTCTCTTTCACTTTCTCCCCATGTCTGTGTATGTGCGCGCCTTTGCAGGGTTTAACCATAATTAGAAGCAAAGAGACATACACACACTTGGTGTGTTGTTCAGAGCACAATGCCAGTGTCTGCAAATACAGGGATAGTAATGAGAACAACACCCCTGCCTCTTGTACATAACCATTCAATCAATCAATTCATTTTATTTCAGACCAGTAGTCCAAGTTAAGTGCAGTGCACTTTATATTTATGAACACACAGTCTCAGGAGCACTGAGGATTTAGGTGACTATCATTTAATATTTCCATGATGTGTATGCACATCTCAGAGCTGTACATTTGCAGGTACATATGACAATAAGCATGTAAATATGGTTAAGAATGCATAATGCAGTGAGTGGTAGAGATTTAGCATATCAAAGATGCATGCGTTTATGAATGCGTTCGGGGGTCTTCCATGTATATTTCAGTGAATTTGCTTGCCTATTTCTTTCACTGCCACTGTGGCAAAAACAACTAGAGAGGTGATTCACGATCTCATAAGGGAGGGAGAGGTGGTGGGGCGGAGAAGAAGAGTGGTGATATAGAGAGGGGAGGGAGGATGAGAAATATAAGATGAGGGTAAATGGAGAGGAGACAGATAAAAAGGAAGAGAGGAGGAGGAGAAGGAGGAGGGAGGAGGGAGGAGCAGAAGCAGCTGGTGAGGAGAGAGGAGAGGAGTGACCTTGGATGCTAAATAATGGTACACGGTTATAGCTGTGGCTAATAGAGACATAACGCAGTGACTGAGAAAAGGAGAGAGGCTAGGAGGTCAGGTAGAGCCCAATGAGAATTGCCAACGGATTTGCGGTGAGTAGATCTGATTGGCTGGGGAAATACAGAAGAGGTAAAAGAGACAGAGTAGCAAAGAAGGAGAAGAGATGTACAGAGGGAATGAATATAAATAAAAATGTAAGTCAAATTGTAAGAAAGGTACCAAGAAAGAGGTCGGACATGGGACACCACTGCAGATTTAGGTAAAGGGAAAGAAAAGATGGGCAATTTTAAAGCTTTGAAAAGGGCAGAGGACATGGGGAGATAAGAGCGAGGGACTGATCAGCAAAAAAGAAGGAAATCTGTTCAAGGATGGATGGTAAAAGAATAAGGAGGATAAATTGAGGGAGAGAGGACCAAAAAGAGTTGAAAAGAAGGATGGAAGGAAGGATGGAGGATAGAGTGAATAAAAGGAAGGGGTAATGAATGACAGGATTAGAAAAACTATTCAAGGATTCACTCAAGGTGTGTACACAGTATGTGTGTGAGTCATGGTGACACAATGGAAAACCAATTGAATAGTTTGAAGCCTTTGTATTATACACTCATTTAGTTGTTTTATGTTAATCCACATACATACACAAATGTATTTGGTGCAGTATACTTCCTGGTGCAACCTTATATCAGGAAAGGGATTCATCACAAATATTGCTTGTATAGGACTTTGGAAATACAGTTTGTTTTTTAGCAGTGAATCCTACAAAGAATGCAACAGTATATCTGCAGTATTAATCAAATTGAGGCACTGTGCAACATGGGGAAAGAGGGGAAAAGGACATGAGAAACCAGTACATGTTAACATGGCAGTGAATCAAAGTAAGAGAAAACCCATTTAAATATAACCTTTGTTAAAGAGAACCAGCCCCTCAGCTGAGTAAACAACTCCCCACAGTGATGGTCAAATCTCTCTGCCTCACAGGTTCTATCAATTATACACAGACACATACAGGCTCTGGATGAACCGACGCCACTGTAATATTTTCCAGGGCCTTTTATAAGCCTATAAAATGACCAAGGATTTTTATTCAGAAACAGAGGCAGTGGTACCATTATGAGTACTGCTTCTTGCATATTTCATATCTGATTGATCACCTCAATGTCTTTACTAGTGGACTTTACAGGGGCAATTCACAATCCCCCAGTGTGGCTGAATGGCCAGGACAGGCTTTCAATTTCGGTTTTCATTCCTGAGGTATTTCACTGTAATGCTTTGGTTTGATTTGACTTCTTAAGATGCCTTACTCTTTGCTGTAGGAATATAAAACGTACTTACTCAAAATCTTCATTTCTTTCCCAATCTTAGTTACTGCTCTATGGTTTTGGCCTTGCAGTACAGTCAGTGCATAATTTCACAGAGCTGCCTGACACCAAGTAGAAGTTCTTTGAAGTGAAGACATTAGTTCAAGGAGACATTCAAACTTATTCAACTACTACAAGAGTAAGAATGCAACTATTGCACCATTTTCTGGGGCATTACAGCAAACTGGCTTAAGTAAACCCTTTTCTGTTACCATTTAAATGTCGACTATGCTGTAGATTTATTGTTTTATGGTTAAATTTTGTAATCTTGTTTAGAATCTGCTGTGATCCAACAAGACGATTCATGTCAGTGTTTGTTGTTAAAAGGAGATGGCTGATATGAATGGGAAATTAATCCAGTGAAGTTGACTGGTCATGAAAACAGAGCATTTAAATGTGTAGAAACTGCATGAAGAGATGCTTTCACTAGAAGTACTGCACTGTTGAGCCAAATAATGAGTCTTTGCCATGGTAACACACACCTGGTCCCTAAGCTGCCCAGCGCGGAGAATGAGTTAATTGGTGAATTTGTGACACTGTCAGAAAGCAGTCTATAGCAACCTCATGACCACTGGATGAGGGTGATTTTAATGAGAATGCCCCATGTGTCTATTGAGATTATACTGGGATTTGGAATGTCAGAGTGCATTGTAATTCCTTATCAAATCATACTGAGCTTTTGTTGGAAATTAGAAGTTTGGAGGTATTTCTGTGCCGATGCACTTCAGGAGATTTGCTAAGGTGGCGTAACTGAGTTGGCAACACGCTGTTCTTTGCAAAAAAAACCTTTTTAATCCTAAATTATAGCTGTGCAATAGTTGATATTCTGGGCATTTGTTCAGAAAAATTCATGTTTAAGCCTTGAGAAAGCAGTGAAAATCAGTGATCAATATTCCCACTTAGTAGGACTGAAACCCAAATCCATGTGCCTGCCCCTTGCTAGCCTTGAGTAGGCCTCCTTTTTTTGTTTCCCAGCTATTTTAGCATTATTCAAAACACCTAAAGGCACATTGTCAGGCTGATTCCATTTGAAAAACTTAAGTAACAGCAGCTAAACTACACCCAATCGAAAACTAAAGACAAACAAGTAGGCTAAATTGTTGCTGTCCTTGGTCTCTTTATTTTGAATGCATTTTAATGTAGACTAAGGTTAGGGGCCTTCTGCAGTGGCTCTGCTGGTGTCTGAATCACGCTAGATGGCATTTATAGGATGTAGCTCAAGTCTGAAGGGAGCTGGAATGGTTAGCAGACGGTACAAATAAGCCCTTTGATGTAGTGAGAAATGGGAGGGAAAAGAGGAAATGGGAGAAACAGAATGCAGGAGAGGAAAGGAAAAAAAAATCACTGACAAAATATTCATGGTAGTAACACAAAAATACACAACCACATGCTTGCCCACACAACAGGGTTGAACAGTGAGGGTAAAGTCATACCCATCAGCGACAGACACTTGAGCTGTGCTACAGTCTCCCACACACACACTTTATCCAAACATGTCACATACACAAACCCACAGACATGAAAATACAGATTTCTATTCTAATGTCATAAATACTAACATATAAAATGAACACACGCTGAAACAAACACATACAACTTATGTAAAGCCTGTGCCCCTCCATTCTCATCACCACCTCGCTTTATTGTTTTCCCCCCTCTCTCTGTCTCTCTATTGTTCACCTCTCCCCTGTTTGTTAGTTCTAACAGCTGCTCGAACACTTAAAATGAGGACACATTCAAAGCACTTCTCCCTTTATTATCCCACGCAAGCACTCACACGCAGTTGTGGTCAAAATACAAAACACACCCTCACTTGTGATGACAATACATTGACACATTCATTTCCTATAAAGTCTAAAAAAAACACAAAATGTCCCAGCTTTACTGTAATCCAAACCCTGACCGTTAAACCTAAAATGGCCTCGTTTTTTTTTTTTTTTTTAAATGTGAGGTCCCACAAAATGGCTTGACGTTTGCTTCTCGCAGGGATTCAAGTACAAGCACACACACATACACACATCCCTGCACTCCGAATGAGCAGACAGAGTTCTCTTTTCATGTTCCCTGGGCGCGCTCTCCATCAATAGCCTCATTTTGCCTCTCCCCCCCTACTGCAGTATCCACTCCTGCGCTGGTTCTAGCAATCCTTTCTCCCCTCCTTTCCTGTGCTTCTTTTCCAATATTCAACCCTTTCTCCTTAGTTCCACAATAGTCCGAATATTCAGGCTAGGCTTCGAGTTACTGCAGACATTTTATGTTTCACTACACATCCTGTGCACAGCATGCTTGTTTATTTAACTGAGCTCTACTTTTTTTTCTTTTATCTCTCTTTAGAATTCTACCATCGACCAGTGACCGCTTCCTGTTGAAGAACTTGGTTTCCGGTGTGGACTATAACCTGTGTGTGCTGGCTATTTTTGATGATACAATCACATCATTAGCTGCAACAAAAGTCTTGGGCTGTGCCACATTCTCCACCAAGGATGTTTACCCAGCATGCCGCTCTCTCCAAGCCCATTTCCTGGGCGGGACACTCACCATATTGGTTGGCGGTGTAGTTGTTGTCACCCTACTCGTGTTCACTGTGGCGCTCATGGTTCGCCATCGTGTTTGCAATCATGGTGACCACATGATATGCCACAACAGCAACACTGAGGCAGGAGGCGGGGCCTGCTGTCAGGGTGGAGGTGTAGGGAGCGGGGACAAAGGGGGAAACAGTAGCGGATGCTACCAATCAAATGGTTCCGGGGACATGATGATGGTGGTCCTGCCCAACGGTCTGCCTTCCAAGAGAGGAGGGGAGAAAGACAAGGAGAAGGACAAGGACAAGGACAAGGTGAAGGAGAAGGAGAAGGAAAAGGAGAAGGAAGCGGCTGATTCTGCTTCCTCTCTGCCCCCAAAACTACCACCTAAGCCCAGGCCCAAACCTAAAGTCAACCTGGAGCAGTTTCTTTCAGCTGGGGGAGTAGTTTCCACGACGACAGGGGCTGGAGGAGAGATGGCATTGGTGGTGAGGCAAAGGAAGCTAGAGAAGGCACCCCCATACACCCTTGACAGTGACAGAACTCCCCTCTACTACTCCCCTTCCCCACCATCCACCCTGCCCCGTCAGTCACACTCCAGGGACCGCCCGAAACCCCGTCTGGAGCGAGAACTGACCAATCGTGCCAGTTTCTCTCTGGCTGCACCCTTGAGAGACTCAGAGTTGTTGGACTGGAGAATCACTCCCCGAGGAAGGGACAAATGGAACTCCTCACAGGCTTATCAGAGCCCTCTATCACCTCTAAGCCCTGCTTGCGGGACTGTTAGCAAACGGCGGCACTCGCTTGATATGGGCTCCTCTGTTGCCCTAGCGACCGATGCTGCAGCGACTGTTGCCAAGCGCTATGGTGCCGTCAGTTACGCCAAGCGGCTGAGTGTGATCTGGACGAGGCGGAGCCAGTCGCTTCATGGAATGCTGGTGCAGTGCGCCTCGACAACGAGCACAACATCTTCGACGACCAGCGATGAGGCCGAAAATGCCGGGGGCTTTGGGCCGCGCTGCGAGTTCCAAAGGGGGTACATCCACGCTTATAACACCACCAACTCCAACTCCAACAGTGGGAGTACTACAGGGAAAGCAAGCAGTGTTAAAGACAGGGGGAGGGAAAAAGGGAAAGACGGAAGGAGTGTTGAAGAGCTGGAGGAAAGTGTTGTGTAGGGGATAGTGGAACAGAATAAAAAAAGTTAAGAAAGATAAAGGGTTCTGTGAGAGGGCACGGGAGTGAATGGGATCTTGATTTGAGGAGGGCAAAGAGGTGGAGTCAGGGGAGAAATTGAGGGTGCAGGAAAGGGAAGATGAAGTGATTGCAGATGAGGAAGAGAAGGTTGTGAGTTCAGAGGAAGGGAGAAGACTAAAATTGACTTAAGTCTCACTTGTGTAGCTCCTTGATTTGCCCTGGGAGAAGTCAAGAAAAATGGAGAGGAGAGAGGAAAGTGTACCTGGAAGTGAGGTGAAGATTTTTAAGAGGCCCTTTACAGCTGACCCAAAGAGTGATGGGTGGAAAAATAAGTGGGAAAAGAGATGTGACAGGAAAATCGGGCGAGCAGGAGAAACTTAACAGGTGCCAGTTTTAAAGTGGTCTTTAAATATTCAAGGCTGAGCTCAAGCCCATTGAGGGATACGAGATGGAAGAGAAAGTAGTAACACAAAAACAAAACTTAGAAAAAAGACAAAGAGTGACAGTTGTAAGAACAGACAACGGGAGTGATATATATAGTCACAGAGGGAGAGACGTAATCAAACGGGAAAACATCAATAGAGAAACAAAAGAAAGGATACATAACAGAGACCGAGATGGCGTGAGCTCAGCGTGGATCTCAGTAAAGCCTATACACTAATAGAACCAGGCTCTTGCTAACACTTCAACTCTCCAGGGCTCAGCCCCCACAACACCACAAGGGTTTACACTGGATCAAAAACAACACAACCGGTAATACTGGAGAAACACTCTGACAAAAATACTACAGTAAAAAAGATTTGGATGATATAGTCCTGCTTTGTTATCTTGTTTTTTGGCTCCAACACTGACGGCCATTTTGAAACTCTTTTCCAAAACACAATGAATGTGACTTTTATGTGTCCTCTGTGGCTGGACAATGATTTTGGCTTGCCGTGCCTGCAGATTATGGGAGCATAAATACCGAGCCGGGTGCATTGGACATGATCAATCGATACGAGCTGGAAAGAGCGAGTGGAGCACAGACATTATTAAAAGAAAGACATTGGGATTACAATGGAGTCGATATGGATTACAAAATGGAGATGGGGTGTATGATGGAACATGTGCGCGTATGCATTTTTGAAAGACAAGATCATATTGGAAGTCGGATGATAACGGACAAACAAATGAATAATGCTAATGGGTGCATAAGTGTGCATGCATTGATGGCTCAGAGGCAAGATATGTGTATGTGAGTGCACACATATGAATGTTTGTGCGAAGCAATCCAGTCAACCAGACTCCATGTGTGTTTAATAAGGTTTAGCGCTTTCTGAACATGCTATAAATGGAATAAATCTAGAAAATGTGAGATCGGTGTTGGTCTAAAGTTCCGCCCCAAGTGAGGTAAGATCGAAATGTTTAAAGACATTTTCACCAACCAGAATAACATCACTAGTTCCATGGTCAGAAAGTGGCAACCGTTAAGGGGGAATCGAAATTTCAAATAAATTTTTTGTGACTTCAGACTCCTTAATGCCACATGGATTCACTTTAAATCCAAACAGTGAATGTTTTCAGAAAGGAAGCAGTTTTAAAAAAAATGACAGAACCATTATGGAAGCCACTTACAAATATAAACTCTTCATCGGAAGACTTTGATAAACTTATAATGGGACAACTGATCCACTGGCACAGACCACAGAGACTTCTATTAAAGAGAAAAAATGAAAAGAGAAAACTTGAAAGTACATATATATAGTATATATATATAAAATGATGTTACTTGTCGCACCATGTGTTTCTGTTTTTCAAAGTTTTCTGGGGAATGATGTTAGGATCAAATACAAAATATAAAATGTGTGATTTTTTGTTTTAGACAAAAAATCTTCATGATTAGAACAGAAAAATTTACATTATAACTAGGCAGAAAAATAAAGATCAAAACAGACATTAAAAAAGCACACAGCACAAAACATGCAAACCGGCAAGCACACACACCCCAAAAGACAGACACACAAACAGATGCCTATAAAACAGAGCCAATTACATCAATAACTATGACTTTTAACAATTACTGTTGTTTCCTTTCTGTTTTTATTTCATTTTTGCCAAAGTCAATATTGTTCTCTGGACTTGATATAAATAATAAAAATTACATGTATGGAACAGAGGTGGACTCATTAACATAAGGGAGTAAGTTGTGTGTCATGTATGTGTGCATGTGTGTTCACAGATGTATTTTGCATTTTGCACAAAAGCACATAATGTATGTGTGTGAAGAATTCTCAGAATTACATTAATTGTCTTTGTCACTGTAGTTTAGTACATCAAGTGCCTAAACCAGATTTTAAGACAATTAAGTGCTATTTAAAACAGCAATCAATTATTAATTTGAGGAATAAGATGCTAGCTCTTTGGTCGAATGACTCAAGGTAAACTTATGAGTTAGAGAAGCTTGTGTGGCAAAATTGAGCAGTGTAGTGTTAGATTGGAAGCAATGGGTAAAGTAACCATTTTTGAGGTAATTAAAAACAGCCTACAAGACAGTTAGAAGATGGGGTGAGAGAACAATGCATAAAAAAGAAGCAAACTGAAGAAAAGAGGGAGATCAATAGTTCCAGTAACAGATGGAAATGCATTTAGAAAGACAAAGAGATACGAGTAAACAAGACTTAACACAGCAGATTTGATATGACACAGAATGGGAAAGAAAGCTGAAGTGACAACAAACAGAGAGAGAGAGAACAAGAACTAAAAGCTGTCAGACTAATGGATCATGATTGTTATTATCAACCATATCTGCTTGTTTCAGACAGTCTATTGTAAAACATTACAAGGTACCTTCACTGCTACCTGGAGCTGAGTTAAAACTAATTTAGCAGCAAAGCAAAGATGTAAGCAGGCAGAACTCTGCAACTGAACATAGCTAATTAAAACTTTTAAAAATATTGTGCAAAAGTAAATTGGAAAACATGAACACCAAAACATCCATTCATCCATTTTCTTTATCTGGGTAACGGTGGCAACAGGTAAAACACGGTAGCCCAGACTTACTTTTCCCTAGCCACAGCATCTAGCTGTTACTGGGGTATCCTAAGGAATACCTGGGCTAGATGGGAAATATAATCCTACCGGCATCTCGGGTTTGCCTTTGGTTCTCTCCCTGTGGATGCACCCAGAATTACCTCAACAGGGAGGCATATGTAAGGCAGGAACCAAAACAGTCAGCTGGAAGGGGCTGAATGTGCTTAGGCTGCAGTGACGGAGCTACAAATATCCAAGGGGGGCAACGAGGGGGTGGGAACAAAAGTACTGGAAAGTGGCAGTGTAGTTGAAAATACGGAAATTGAGACCATTTGATGGGACGCTCCCCAATGGTGCATTCTCGTAGCATTCCTAATAATCTGACAAAAACATGAGGAGAAATCAATCAAAAGCTGCATTGTCTTTCATGGACCCTCCTCTGGTACCAGGCAGTAAGAAAACATCACCTCTACTCGCAGACTGAGATAAAAAAAAGTGTCTTTTTACTTCACTCATCTAACTCTCTTCTCACATGTTTTCATTTTCTCTTGAGCCCTTTGCAGACACTGCTTAATGCCCACAACAGAGTGTGTGAAAGATGTGGAGAGAGAGGGGAATGTGAGAATGCTGACACACCTAGAGATGGACAAATAGATGATGATGAGCAAGGGAAAAAAGGGAGAGAAGTGAGGGAAGGGGGAGCCTCTACCTTTTAGTGTGTGTGTGTGTGTGTATTTTTTGATGTGTGTGAGTTTTTCTCATGTAAGCACTTTGCCACAAGTTATTAGCAGGAAGACAAAAGATCTTTAAACCACAAAAGGAAAAGGGTCAAATGGGACTGCATAACGTGTGTGGTGTGAAAAGGGAAAACACACTACCGAGTAGTAAACAGTGTCCTAATTTGATGCAATCAACAGTGACACCAGAGGAAATAAAGAAGAGTATGTGTGTATGTATGTGTGCATGTGTGTGTGTCTCTGGACATCAGGTTAGAGGGCAATTTGATGTGAAACTCATAAGTGGCCACATTAAAAACAGGGCTGAGTCTGTGCTACAGTCACCTTTGAGAAGTACAGAGTCAGTGTGTGTGTGTTTTTGTGCGTGTGTGCATCTTATGTGTGACGGCAGGAACTAAACACAGTACAGACATCCCCCCCCACCCCACCCCTGCTTACTTTGCGAGAGAAAACCTTGGCCAAATTTGATAATTACTAAAAAATGCTGTAGTAACGTGCAGGCCACTCCATTCCACCTTTTCAACACACACACACGATACACAGTTACACAACCACACACATCTACACATACACCACACACGAGCACACACATCATCTCTTAAGAAAATCCTTTGTGGCAGTGGTGTGGTGTGGATGGGTTGGTCTTGAAACGGCCATGTCGTTCTTTGAGCAAACCTCCTTCTTGGACGAGTTGCAGTTTATGATTCCAATGGTATGAGCATTTCCCGTGCAGGAATCTGCTGTGGGTAACTGCTGAATCTGCAGATGCATCTGGAGCTCAGACCTCCTTGCACTAGAGAACCGTTACCAGTCCAGGTTCTGCAACATACAGAATCGCACATAATACGAAAAGAATAGAGACGAGTCTAAGCAGCTCCCATTTGGTCTAGGACTATTAGTCTTGAAATTACTTGTCCGAACTCTTTTGAGTAAAGTACTGTAAAAAGCCCAGTACAATGAGGGATTGAAAAAAATACAAAATGAACTGAATTAGGTCCTGTTGAGAGTCTGGTCTTTAGAACATTGAATTATTCCTCTTTGGAGATGTCCTG